TTCTCCTGATACAAACCAATTTTTTATTTAGAGCTGGAAAATGTTTTTGTTACCAAACAGAAACAATAAAAGCGTGAACAAGATAGTTGGGACAATACTTGGTATTCTGAGGTTTGTACAAGGCATTGATTTGTGAAATCCATGTTGAATGTAAGTGTATTTCAGTGCAAACTTTGTATTTTAGCTTTATAATAAGCATTTATTTCCCCACATGCCTTACTTTATGGAATACTTTTCAGAGTTTGTTTTTCTCTGAAGTCTTTGATACATTTGGCTGAGTTTGTTCTACGTGAAGGTCAACAGAGATCAGTTGTATTTTTTTTAAGGAAAGAGATTTGGATTTAAAACAACAACAACGAATAACTCTTCAATTACTGCCATAACTTCTGCCCTCTGCCTCCCATTTCCCTGCCTTTGATGTAACTCAAATCCTTAGTAAAGTATTGAGCTGAGATGCTGGGTAGGCAGTAAAAGGCACAAACGGGAATATTGGAGCGGAATGCCACGGAAAGGGTGGCGAATTAAATTGTGCCTCCAGTGAAGAAAGCATTGTTGTACCCATGCCCCACAGCAGTGCTGTGTGGTTGCTTCTACCATCAGGAAACGGGGTCTGTTTCTCTAACTCCTTGATACGATGCTGGCCTTTTGATTGATTTCGATCAGTAGAGTGTGGTAGAAGGACCATGTGGAGGAGACCAAGGTGCCCCAAACAATAGATAACAAAGATTTCCAGACAAATGAATAAAGCCAACCTGGAACCCCCCCAGTCCCTTCAAGTCATCCAATGACTGCAGCTACATGAGTGAGCCCCAGATGGACCAGCAGAAGAGCTACCCAAATTGCCAATGCACAGAATTATAGGGAACCCTGTATCATTGCTTTTTTAGGCTGCTATTTGAAGAGAATTTTGTAACAGGAGCAATAGATAACTGATACACGTGCCTATTTTTTTTTTTTGAGCAGAGGGCTTAATTCTCAGTTCAGGTTGACTATGTGTATAATACCAAATATGAACCACTTTAATTGTCTACTGTGTGTCATAGTTGAAAGCTTGTCAGATATAGAGCAGCTGTCTTTACAGGCAGAGGTGTTTGCTCAGGTCATTGTATCTATACAGGGCGATCAAAATCCGGTGTCCTGTCCTCAGTTTTGTACACTGGGCCTGCAGGACTGATTCACATTCAACCTACCTGACAAAGACTGACTGTTTATTCACAATGCCAGTTTCTTAAAATAAAATTCACACTGCAAAGTGGCTAGAATTGTTCTTCTCTGTCGGGTAGAAAATTTTAATCTCTGCATGACAACCTGAATGAAAAGCCAGAAAAATCCAAGAGGTCAAGAGGATGGATTTGGATGGTACTATAGTATTACAGGGTCCTGGTGCCCTTCTCAGTGAAACACACAGTGGAATTTAATAGTTCATCCCAGCAGACAGGGCTGCTGGATAGTGCTAGAGACGATAATAGACCCTGGTTCTTGTATTCTACTTTTTAAGACTCCACATGGGCTAATGCCTTTTTTAGAGAAACCAGCATCATATCACCTGACACCATGGCATTGTGATCCCATTTTCCTGACTGTGAACTCTTAATGGAGGCTTGAAAAAACTCACTGATAGCACACTTATCACTCACATGTTTACTAAAATGTACGTTGTCAGTCTTATCCCAACATTTCGTAGCATGTCACTGTATTTCTCCTATGTCCCAGCTAAACTAACCACGAATCTCTGAGCCACTTTTACAGCTTTGGCACATTTTTAAAGTTGATACAGTCCTTCACATTCTTCTGAATACTTGCAAACCAAGGCTTTATTTATTATATTAGAAGCTCCAGTGTCTTGGAAGTATTACTTTAGCACATTATTTTAATGATAATGAAGCTAAAATATAGTTTTTAAAGAGATGTGGCTTAAAAAGGTTAAGCTCTGTACTGATTTATAGCTCTCTTGTGCAGTACATACTGTGCAGTACTTTTCCCATTGGGAAAAGATAGTTAAACTACTGAATTAAGCATTTTTTCCTCAAAATTAATGTCTTTGCTTATATTTGCACATTCTTAATTTTTATATATCTCCCTCTTCTAGTCCTGTCGATAAAATCATCCCACCAACCCTTGTCTCATCCCCCATCAAAACAAAAATAAGTAAATGAAATAAAATGAGCAAGGCATGAAGGTATCTTATCAAAAATTTTGTCTTTCAGTGTATTAATAAATTTCTTCAATAGTGTGCGAGCTTTCTTAAAAAGTTCAAATACAGTTTACATAATCAGTACAAAAAATAAAGACTCCTAATCACTCTTTCACCTTTGTGTTTAACATCTATAACTATATCATGAAAATGAGAAAGTTAGGGAACAAAGTTAAAGTTTTATGCCACTGTATCTTCAGCATTCTAGTAGTAATATTGAATTTTCTATTCTCTGTGATACATGTAATAACTAAGGGAAACACCCCATGTAAAAGGTTGAAAATATTGTTTTCTATCCCTTGGGAATTTTCAGTCAAAATGTCAGCACAAGTCCCTGAATGGCACTTGCGAAGACATGGCGACCCTTCGAATTCCTACTTATTTTCTTTGTATAGTTGTTTGGGTCAGAATGAGCTAAAGTGTGTAACTACCGCCAAACCCTCCCCTTTCTATTCCAAACCCAAAAATGACTTGTCAATGTGATGTTTTTGCCATAATGCCATCCCCAAATGTCCTACCTACTTAACTGTCTGGATAGATCACTTTCTGCTCAGCAGTTCAAAATTGCCTCTGATTCATGACAGACAGGGAGTCAATCAATGTCTGTCAGCCCAGAACAAGCATTCCGGTCATGGCCACTGTCAGCCCAGGTCAAGGTTGTCTTGCTGGTGGCCGTTGTTATTATCACCATAAAGTTAGGGACAAAAGTTACAGGGACAGCAGGTTTTAATTCTTTGTATCAACAAATAGGCAAAGGATGGCCAACCAGACACTTTCAATAACTCTGTATTTTAAAAGCTGTAAAGAAATCCACAATTGATAAGCTTATCAGTATTTCTGATATGTTATTCATATGTACTTTGGTCCTTGTGTATCTTTGATTAGATACTAACTCTTAGATTTGATTGATTATGGCTTTTGAAAATTGTTATTTATATTTAGACATCTCTACATTGGGCACAGAGTTGTTAGAATCTTCTATAACCCTTGCATTGAGAAATGAGTCTAAGGCCAATATGGAAGCTGAAACAGAACACACCATTTTTTTTTCTCTTTTAATCTTTTTGTGAACAAGAATTTCATGTTAACAATTTTGGGGATAGAAATAGGTATATAAAATAATATCTTTAGCACAGATTACCTGGCATTCGTTTATAGTTATCATATGTAATGAATGGTACAGTTACTTTTTAAATATGTCTGTGTATTTTAATATGCTAACTAGTCTATGGGCTAGTTGGGGGTTAGAGACTTTTTTAGTATGTCATTACACCTCCAGTAATAAAACTAACATGAGTAATAATAGCAGTACATAAATAGTGCCTGTTCATTGAGTTCTTACTTTGTCCCAAGCACAGTGCTGAATACTTCTCACATTTATCTCATTTAACCCTCAAAACTATTCTGTGAGGTAGCTATTATCCATATTTCACAGATAATGGAACAGAGGTTCATATAAGTTGCTTGCTCAAAGTCATGTTTTGCTAAAGGGAAGGTTCTGTTGTTTTTTATTAGTGGTAGTGGCAGCAGCGGGAATGAGCTGTTTACTTTTCCTTCCCTCCATGAGATTGTCTGCATCTTGAGGTCCTCTTGCTCACGTTTTTATCCCTCGCACCCATGAAGCGCTCATACATCATTAGTGCTATGCTGAGGAAGGATTAGTATGGTTCTGGCTTAGCCCCACTCCTAGAGGATCACGTCTGTGTAAGTGGGGAATCATTAAGTGGGCAAATATTATGAAGGGATTTCGCTGTATGTACTTTGTAATAATTTACTACATTTGCTCAAATGCATGTCCGACATGGTAGAGCAATTACACAGGTAATAAACCATATGTCTGAGAACACAGAATACATAACATCCAACCTTTCCACGCACACTTGATTTCTTCTGATTTATTAATAACTTTCTTACGTTTAAGTGATTTTTCTTATTTGGATTGCTTTGTATCTCACTGTGGCGTGACCTCAGCCAAACAGTTGCTATGCTAAAATTTTCTCTTGATACTTCTTAATCCTACATTTGCTGGCATATAAAATGTTTTGTTTTATGGCCAACATATGGTTAAGCAATAGGGAAACAAGAAGAAAGGAGGAACATGCAAAAAGACATTGAGAAGCTGATTAACGAGCAGAAGTATACAGAAAATAGAACCAATTCATTCTCTTCTATTGCAACCAGTTGTAAGCACATCGTGGCATTTTCTGAAGCAGTGATAGGTGATACATTATAACAATGTTTTTAAAATGTTAAATGTTATTTTAAATACAAATGACAAAGGGAGCAAAATCACTGGCATTCTCAGTTTATAAGGGTTTGTAGTTTAATGACATAATATTATTTTCATCAGTGAATGTAAGTAAGCCCTTATCTTGGTTTGACACTAAATCTATTTTTGTTGTGTGTGTTCTTAGAAGCTTCTTCACTGAAAGTAAAAAGTTACTTAGACCATGGTAACACATGACACTGAATAAATCATGAGTGCTGATTCATTTTCACCACTAAATAATTTGAATGTTGCAGCTATTTGTATTTGATACTGAAATAGGTGAGATAGCCAGATACGTTTTTAATGAATGTTCTGGCAAAACTGAAAGTGAATCTGTTTTTAAGTAAATGCCTGATAAAAAGCAATATGACCTTCAAAGATTTGGGTGATCTGATTTCCTGTGGCTCATGAAACTATTGTTGTGAACAGAAAACTAGTATTTCTAATAATAATTTGTTGACTCTTTAAATTGCACATATTACTTCTAATTCTGAAAAGGACATCTGAGGAGTAAATACTCTTATTCTACTTTTACAGATGAGGAAACAGAAGGCCAGAATATTTCGTGAATTGCCCCGAAAGTCAGTAAGTAAACATTATAACTAAGATTTCGACCCAAATCTGTCTTGGGCTGAAGTCCACTCCCTTTTCAGCATACCATTCTACTTCCTGAATTATAGTAAATTAGAGTAACCAAGACTGTTTGTTTCAAATTTTATCTAATGTATGGTTATAGTCCTCAGTAAATTCTAAAACAGTTAGCCACTATCTGTTACTAATCACAGTCTGAAAAGAAAGGTATACCAACAAAATAGACTTTTCTATCATTGCAAGTGCCCACACAGATACAATAGATTGACCAAAAAGGTAACTAATTTCTCAACTCTGATATTTTAGAGTATCTTATGACTTACACTGAATGGCTGTGTTTTCCAGATGTTGAAAAATCAGTCTTACCTGACTCAGGGCAGTCTTAGTCATTTCAGTGTTTCTTCAATTGAACACTTCTGTCTCAGAGCTTACAATGCCTAGTACTTATTTCTGGTCACAGGGAAAGGACTGTTTGGTCTACTGAAAGCTCAAACTAGATAATTTAAATCTTTCTTGTACTGGGATGTAATATGTGATTAAAACTCTCCACTAAAACAAAATAAGTGTGGCTACTCTAGGACAAGGGGGTTTCCTCTAGGAATTATTTAGGGGCAGTTCAGAGTTAGCAAAAACTAACAACAGACAAGAGAAGTAGTATTTCATATATAATCGTATTTCAATGTGCAGTTATATACAGTAATCTCTCTGTGTAATTCAAAATAAGAGGTATTTTATGTGTAGTCAGTAAATGTTTCAGAAACATAGTTTTGAAATGGGGTGCTGTTTTTTTAAAGATTTGTCTCTGGTTTTGATACGTACAAGTACTGTATTAAAAAAAAAAAACCAAGAGAATTATTGTCAAGAATTAGCATTTACTTAGTACTTAAGTTTTCATGACACTACCCCCCCCTACAAAAATGAGAGGACATTTGCTATGTAAATTCAAGACCATCTTCTTCTTTTTTTAAAAAAATAAGGTGGTCTCTAGCAAGTAGATTCTGGCATCATAATTCATTGAGGAAAATTTTCAATGACATGATCCTTAAGGCTCTTTCCAAGTCCTAAATTCTATATTTTCATTATTTTAGTCATGAAAGCTGATTGGCTCACTGAGAGATGGCAAGGACACATTTATGTAAATTGTGCTGTTCACTCAGTAGGGACAATGGAACGGAGGTGAGGAATGAGCACTTGGCGAGAATCTGAGGATCTCTGTTTAGTCCTACATATTCCACTAATGGAATAATAACTTTGTTTGAATAATTTGAATACCTTGATTCTCAGTGCTTCTTTATAACCTATGAAGTGAAAGTTAGAAAACTGACACAGGGGAGTTTTTTTTTTCTCAAAGGACTTATTTGGCACAGGTTTGTGTATATCTGGATGGCAGCATCAACTTTTAACAGATAATTTTTCCTAAATCAGAGCATTCTGCAGCTATAAACATGCAGAGGCTGTCTGGAGCGGGGTGGGGGGATATGTGTACACCTGAGATCTTACTTGCTTCCACTTTGACATTGACCATTCTAAGCAAGGCTGGTACCCTTTTTGGGTTTGAGGTGCCTCATGCATAGAAGGGTGCAGGGTCGACGACTGCAAAGGTTGTTATACCTTATCATTTTCAATGCTTGAAAACCTTCACATTCACTAACGAAAGAGCTGGAGTTCAAGTTTTAAGGAGATGGAAGCAAGGATGCTACCAAAAATAACTGACTAAAATTACATAAGATTGATTGAAATCCTCCAGATAAAAGGTGTGGGATTTTTTTTTCATCCTTTTAAAATCTTTTGTCTTGTGAAAGCTCTTAGTATAATGTTAACAGTGCTCTGTTATCCAGAGAGAGAAAGTCATAGCATTTTTGTTGGGAATACTGTCAGGTGAATTTTTGTGAACTCTCTAAGTTGAGAATATATATGTATTTTAAGTGCGTGAATTTATGGTTTAGTATTTTGGTTAATAAATTGGTTCAGGGAAAAAAAACCTTTACAAAAAAAGTTTAAAGAAGTGATTTAGTGATTCAGAACAGTAGTTGTTAGATAACAAAAAAACAAACTCATGTTTTAAAATGTGAAAGCAGTTTATTGGCTCACAGATAAAAAAGTCGAGGTTAGACAGACTTTAGTCAAAGTGTGAACAGAACTCTGTCTCCGTGTCTCCTGATTTGCTTGCATTCCATCTCTTGCCAGTCATCTTTATCCTTAGGATTTATCCTTGTGTTCATGTGGTGTCTGTCAGCTTCTTTTGCACATCTTGTGTGAGAAAATGACTACCATCCTTAATTGCTGAACAGATGACCTAGGTTTGCTCTCACTGGCCCATCCTGAAGGTGCTCAGCTTTTGACTAATTTATTTGGCCACAGTGGTGCCTGGTCTTGGTTTAGGATAGAGTTAGAAAATGAAACAATGACAAAACAATCTTAATGGTAAAAAAAAAAAAAAGTAGTGGGAAAGCAGGAGCTACCCTTGGATCTGGGAATGAAGTAAATCCCACCCAAACTCCACAGCTACACAGAATGAGCGAGGGGTGGTTGGTGGAATGGAGGTTGGTAACATAACCACAGTCCCGATGCAGAATTCCGCCACTTGAGTAAATCCTCTTGAGGAGTCCGCCTCCCCACAGGAAACTTGGGGAGCAAACATGAACTCCATACCTTCACAGTGTTACAGGCATAGAACGAACTGTAAGGACAACATAATCTACGTCTCATACTTTGAAGATGGGGAAACTGAGGCTCCAAAAGCTTAGATAGTTTGCCCAAGAGAATATGGCAGAACTTGGAGCCAGTCTCCACATCACTGCTGCTAGTCCAGTGTCCTTGCGATTTACGTTAGTCATTTGTTTATTCATTCAACACGTAGCAAACACTGCTTTCCCAGTGTTGCTATTGAAGTGTCTGGTTTCTCAGCCCACTTCCGATGCCACCTCATCCATGTTTTTTTTTTTTTTTGGTCGTTTAGTCAAAAATTTCTTCTCTGTATTGTTCATGTTCACAGCATGCTTTACTTCTCTCAGTCACGTTCCACTTCACGTTATACATTTTGGCTTTCTCTCTCTCACTGGACTTAAACAAAATGGCTGTGTTCTGTTCATTTCTGCATCTTTCTGAGTGCTGCCCACGTATTAGCATTTGAATATGTGGATGACTGAGTAAATGTTTTGGCTCAGGAAATGGGGACTGGAGAATTGCTTAGGAGTAGACAGTCTGTACCCTTCATAAGTGACCAGATTCATGCACATCATCCCTTAGTTGTAGCTGAGAGTGAATCGGGCTTGCTTTTGGTGACCCAACATTTAAACTCAGGCCAAATGTTGAAATGAGTCAATTTTACCTTCTTCCATTCTGCACAGTTCTTTGGAGCATCACTTTTCTCCTCAAGATGCTCCTATGTGCATAGACAGCTGCACCACAGGTAGCTTCCCCTAGCCTATCAAGATGTAAACTCTTCATTCTATTCTGTTCCATTCCAGCAGATTCCTCTTCTAGGAATCATTTGAGATACATTCATTTTAACTTTATGTTCCTAACATTCTCAGTGGTATTTGATTTTTATAGGTACTCTTGAGGTAGAAGTTCTAAGAAATCTAAATTAAATTTTGAGTTTGAAATAGCATGGTAAGGTAACGGTGTGACCTTTAAGCAGAAGGTGGTCTTCTTTTCCTTTTTTCTACTTAATTTCCATTTCTACTTGCCCATTCATAAGGCCAGCCCAGCCTTCACTGTGTCATGGTTCATTTCACGGTATCCCTTGAAATTATGTCACAGTGGAGAGAGGAACAGGGATGGAGAGAACATGGCAAGCTTCTCTATGATGAAATATACTTCATTGGACCCACTGGGATTCCAGTCTTCCGTGACAAGTACAAAATTGATAATATATTTGGTATGGGAGAAGCTGATATAATTCTAACATAAGTGTCACTGCTTCAAAGTCATAACAGAAATACTGCAGACCCTGTTAACGTGAGAAAGAGTCTGTATTTATTAAGAGGCTACAATTAAAAATTTTAGGGGACTGAATCTGTCCAGAGGGAGATATACTGAGACCTATTGAGATGGGCCCCTTTTTTCTGTCAATATTACATTATGATAAATTTAAACAAGAGAGTGAATCTTGAATTGCAGATGAGATAGCTGAAATTTAGCAGTTTATCTTTGCTGTCACAGTACCACATATCAAAAAGAGTACCCTTCAGATTAAATGAAAATGGCCTCTAAAAGCAGTTTTTCTGTACCATTAGAAATTGTGGATATGAAATGAGTAAATTATTTCATGAATAGACAGTCTATAGGGAAAAAATGAGTGATTTTTTTCACTCTACCCCCTCTCTCAGATTATATTTTTACTCTATTTTTCATAAATTTTGCCAGAAAAAATATGGGTTGACTTCTTAATATATGTCTAAACAGCATAGATTTGTGTATAACAGTAAGACTAGAAAATAAAAATGGGGTGTTAAAAGTAGTCTTTATAGTGGCAAATGCAATAGAAAAGTGTGGATTTAAGCTGCCTTTTATAATCCTATGTTTTCAGTCCTTTGGACATTTATAACCCTTTTGGCTTTGGAATTCAACTTTTCCACACTTCATCTAAGTGATAAGGTGTTTCTTTTGGAAAGCTCTGAGAAAAATAATCCTTTCAGTTAGTTTTGAATTATGAAGGAACAGTTGCACCAAAAACTAAAGTGACTGAACACCACCATTTCAAATCTGGCATGTGGTTAAGCCTCCAGAGAAATAGCTGCATTTAAAGAAAGAATACAAGAAGTACACAAAAAGGAATAGCTTCTTCTAAGTGCCCAGCTGGCATTTACTGAGGTTTGATTCCAGGTTAAAGGAGACATTTGTCAGTGCTTGTGTTAGTTGTGATTTATTTCTGAACAAAATATTTGAAGGATGTATGGTTCTTATGGAATGGTAATGTGGTAAGAAATGTGGAATCGTTCATTCATTTTGTACATTTTTGTGTGTCATCCAAATTTGCACTTCAGATG